ACCCTACCCCTAAACCTACCCCTCACAGGAGACTTTGTGCTATTTCAGATTTTCAATACACTCCATTCTGTGTGATTTATAAGCGTTTTGAAAAGTGGGGACATGGGGTAATGTCCTGAAAAGTCACCTTCTCCTTGTAATACCTATGTCATACCTTTGTCATTATACAAATTTATGACACACACACAGACACACTCACGCACACACACTCACTCACGCATGCATGCACACACACATGCACGCACGCACGCGCACACACACACACACACACTCATGCACATGCACGCACGCACACACACGCACACACAAACACATCCATGTTAGTCAGAGGAAGACCATTTCCACCTCCTGTTGACTGCTCACCCAGCGTGATCATCTGAGGCCAAACAGCACTTCCTCCATCACACACACACACACACACACACACATTGCCGCTGACCCCTAAAAACACAAGCCTACTTAATACATGGCCACCAAATGAACAAATAATGTTAAATTGCCATTAAACTTTTAATTTGACTTGATATTTTGAAACGTTGTGAAACAAGAAACAGGAAACTAGCCCAGCTTAATTAATTGTACAGTTTACTGAATGCAGTGTGTGTGTCTGTACTTCTTTTGCTATATTTGAAGGGCCAGATTTTTGAAAATGCATGTGTGAATTTGTGTAGGGTGTGTGTGGTGGGGGCTGTTGACATGTTTTAGGGATTGGGGTCATGGACGATAGCTTTCATGTATCATCAAAACTACCTCTAACATTCACACAGACACAAACACACACTGATGCTACCTTACAGCGGGGGAATGTCCACTTCCTGGGCTGAACTTCACAGCTGGAATAACAAATACTAACACACACACACACCTGAGCATAATCATGCAAATATACAGTCACCTGCTGAAATCTAGTCTATTACCAGGATGTATAAGGACAATTTGCTTCAGATTTGTATCTGCTGTGGTGGAGTGTGACGATATTCATGAATGGAAATTTACAACCAGTGTAACTTGTATTTGCCCATATAGTACATTGTGAGAGCAGAGTGTTTACCCTCTCTCTCTCTCCTTATGTCCTTCTTTGAGAAGGAGTGCGAGAGTGAGGGACCCACTTGTTTATTAACGATGTTCTTTTGTGTGGGCCGTCCCGCCCCTCACATCCCAGGGCCTGCCACTGAACCTGTTGTCATAACAACAGCTGTCTTCCTGGCAGCCCCCACCCTCTGTATTGTGTGTGTTTTACTTTGATATTTTTTGGAGTACAAAATCATTGCCAGAATGTAGCTTAATATGACAAATTGGATTAAATATTAAATATATTATAATATAATATTCAGTTTTTAATATAGCTGTAATATAACCCTAATCCCAATCCTGTTATTTCAATAAACAAATTCATGAATTGTCATCCTTCCTCTAGAAGATCTAGATCCTGACATGCACACTAAGTTTACTGAATGGTCTCTATGAGTGCTGTACAGTGATGCACAGATAGAAGAGTTGTTTCATGTCACATTTGTAGTGCATTTTACACAACTTTAAGTGTTTATTTCACAGTCAGAATCTAGAAATACAGCTATTTGATTTATATAATAATAATGATAGTACTAGTAGGTTCAATTGGTTAACTTTATTTAATACACCAGGTGTCATGAAAACAAAAATGAGTGAAGTGAAGTGTGGCGACCCATACTCAGAATTTGTGCTCTGCATTTAACCCATCCAAGTGCACACTCACAGTAGTGAACACACACCTGGAGCAGTGGGCAGCCCTATTGCTGCGGCACCTGGGGAGCAGTCGGGGGTTCAGTTCTTGCTCAAGGGTCTCACCTCAGCCAGAGAGCACTGGCTATTCACTCCCCCCACCTACAATCCCTGCCGGACCTGAGACTCGAACCCACAACCTTCAGGTTACAAGTCCGACTCTCTAACCATTAGGCCACGACTGAAATAAACAAAAGCAAAAATTAATGTAGGTAATTTAGACTATAAATATAATATTGTTTAGTGTTAATTCATGACCATTCATAATAAATTAATATTAATTAGAAATTTTTTAAAAAAGGTATTGTGTACACTACCAATCAGAAGTTTTGGGTTGTATATATATATATATATATATTTTTTTTTTTTTAAGAAGTCCCTTCTGATCACCAAGGCTGCATTTATTTGATCAAATCTACAGTAATATTGTGAAATATTATGACAATTTAAAATAACTGTAATGCATTTTTAAACTGTAATGTATTTCTGTGATCAGAGCTGTATTTTCAGCATCATTCCTCCAGTCTTCAGTGTCACATGATCTTCAGAAATCAGTATAATATGCTGATTTGCTGCTCGAGAAACATTTGTCATTATTAACGTTTTATTATTAACATTTTATTATTATAATTATTATTATCAATCAAAACATTTGTGCATTTTTTTCAGGATTCTTTGATTAAAAGATCAAAAGAACAGCATAACTGAATGCATCCTTGCTGAAAAAAGTTATTTAAAA